ACAGGGCAAAAAAGTGCTACAAGAAACTGTGCCTCCTCTTTCTTCAGAGAATTTTCTGGGTTTTTTGGAAGAAAATAAGTATTACTTTTTTCCTCTTCTCTTTTTAAAAAGTTTCCTTATGAAAATGAAGCTGCATTGGACTTGTCTGGTGAAACACTGAATCCCCGTGGAACAGAATTAAGCTCAGTTTTTGCAGAACATCATTTACCTGCCCTAACTTGGAGACCATCCTCTCTCTGCTTGTAATTCCTTCTCTTACACAAACCTTGGCTCGTTTTAAAAAGCAAAACCAAAACATGCTCCAGTCCTATGGTCTCCTTTATTACATATATATGGACAACTCACAACAGCTCCAGGCTAACCAAGGCAGGCACAGAGAAAAATTCTACACTGATAAAACCAACCTTTCCTTGTTATTTGGGGGCTAAAAAACTCCCCAAAAGTTACTTTAAGAGTCTTCTGTTTGAAGCAGAAGGACAGCAATAATGGAAGGGCTGATGCCCAAGAGCTGTCCCCCCCACCCTCACCCAGACACTTACTGCCTTTTCATCAAGGGATAAACCAGCTCCAATTACTGGAGGCCAATGTGTTATTCAAGGACAAATGTGCCCAGGCTCTTGTCCCGCAATAAAAGGAAGGCAATTCAAGTAGCTTACGTCTGATTCTCATTATATGAATGTTTTTAGAAGCTGTATTCTGTCTTGATGTGAGATATGGCTTTCGGTCCTCACTCAGCTATTAAAGGAAAATGAGAAGTCTGTCCCCTTTATTCCCACCTCCCAACAGCCACGTCACTGGAACAAGAGGGGAAGGAAGACACAATGAATTTCACCAACACTTCTTTAAAGCAACTGGAAATGCTCCCAACAAGTACAGGAAAAATGTGAAGTCTTATTTTTCATTACTCAAACACCTCCAATTTTTAATTCTTGTTTCCTCTGAAGTTTGGTAAAAATTGATACAAAAGACAGATATCTTTATTCTTCTCAGATATACAAAGCAGTCAACTGAACAACAAAAAAGGAGGCTACTTAATGATAAAAATTAACTTATGGTATTTTTACTCAACAATCTTCATGGTTAAGGTTTTGGGGGTGGGGTTAGAGTTGACTTTGGTTCGGATTTAGGTGCACAAGACAAGGGGACCCAACTGAAGGCTGGCACATGAAACCTAAGCAGGGAGCATCTGCCAACTGGGCAGCCATAAATCTGGCACTTCCTGATTTTCTTAATACTTTAACCTCACAATTCAAACAGCACTGGGTGGGTTCCAATTTGCCTAATTTGGCTGAAATTGTAAGCAGTTGGGCCCGAGGGGATAACACAGTCAATGCAGTATCACTCCGAAACGCTCCACTTCATGGAAAAAAAAAAGAGAAGACACCTCCAAAGACCCATCATCCACTACCTTTGACATCTTCCAAACAGACCAGTAAAAAAGACAGAATTCTAGCATTAGTTTGTTGATCAGAGCTCTCAACTGGGATGTAAAATGATGAGAATTGAATGCACAACTCCTCCAGTCAAGAGGAATGGCCCAAGCATCAGCTTCTCCCCCATCTCCAGCCTCAAAACCCGAAACACAGACGCTTCGTCCAGTATTAGTTCGATTAAATCTGACGTTCCAAACAAATTCCATGGGGTGGGTGTGTGTGTGTCCCCCTTCCTTCACACACACTGATTTTAATCCTTTGCTGTACAGATTGCAAACCGGGGGCACTCTTCTGAAAACTCTCGTTAAGTGCCCCGCTTTTCTCCTTCCCAATTAGAGCAGCTCACGCCCACTGCAGATGGCAGAACGACCGCCCCTTGATTACAACCGGCTGCACATCAACCTCCAACCACTTCTCCTCCCGGGTTCGTGATTCGTTCAAGACTCTTGAAAATAAAAGAATAGAGCCAAAACCACAGAAAGGTCGCGGCATCCTTAAAACAGTCAAAATCAAGGGGAGGAAAACAAAAAAAAAAGAAAGATTTCACTTACGAAGTCCGAGCTGAGAAGACTGAAATGCTCGCAACCAATTTTTCCAGGGCACTGCACTCACTGGGGTGAATGGGAGCAGTCATGCATGGGAAGCTCCCAACGTGTGCCAGTTTCCAGTTTAACAGCCCAATAATTGTGGTTTGGGTCAACTGTATGAATAAAGGCTGTCTGTTGACAGTGATTAAGGTAGCACATTCTTATCTTTACCAATGTTCTGTGCTTTTCTGGAAGACAAAGATCGCTTGAGGATTCAGTCCCTTCCTCGAAATTTCAGCTTTTTTTTCAACAGCACTGCTGCTCTGCAACTCTAATTCAAAAAATAATTACATTTTCTAAAATCCATGGACAATTCACGGGTAACAGAGGTCACCATGTTTCTTTTCCTTCTCCATGAACCTTTTAATTCGATGTACATTTTTAATAAGTCAGACAACATGTGTTTAGATGTTCCCAAATCATTTCTAGGTTCTCAGCCTCATCTTGTAAGGAAAGATTTAGTCACAGGCAGCATCTGGTCCCCAAAATCTTTCTCTCATTTGTAACACACGAGACAGCAACATATTTGACTTTAACATCTACAAATGCCAATTTGATTACAGAAGTGTTATTCTGTTGTGGGTTTTTTTTTTTTTAATTCTGTAACTGGGTCCTACATTGATTATTTCTAACAGTTATTTCTGTGCAGAAAGCTCAAGATATGTATGTGTGCACGTAGGATTTATGCACATTCTGTTGTTCTTGCCTGTATCACAGAATCATAGAAGGGGTAGAGTTTGAAGGGACCTTAAAGATCATCGATTTCCAAACCCCCTGCCTTGGGCAGGGACAAGATGATGTGTCTGACTGTGAAGGGTGAGCTGTGGTTAGCAAAGGAGGATGTTAAAATCTCACAGGAATAACAATGAGAGAGGAACAGAACGTGAAAAATTGTCTTTCCTCGTTTTCCCACGTTCTCCTACATTTAAGGTCTGTTTTATGATGCAGTGTTATTGCACCAATTCCTTTTCTGCCTTCTCTTCACAAGCCAGTGGGGTTGCCTTAACACTTCACCAGATAAAATTAATTGTCCTGATTTATTCAAGAGGCCAAGTGAGACTTACGGAACGAAACAGAATCATGGATGGAGAAGGACAGCTCTGAGAAGTTGTGCGTCTGATTTCCATGACAACAGCGACCCAAATACCTTGTAGCACCCCAGAACAAAAACCAGTGACTTTGGAAGAACTGGAGTTTGAAATACCTCATGATGAGGTGGAGAGGAAAGGAGAAGAGCAAAAAAAAAAGGTATAGTGTGCCAAGTAAGGAGACAAGAACCTCTGATTTTAATTTTACAACAGAATTAAGATTCAGGGCATTGTCAGATACAGGCAGCTGTCGTCTCTGCAGATCAGTTCCTGCCGCCCTTCAAAAACCTTTCTATTCTGAGCCATTTGTATCTGTTTCTAATGATGGGGACTAAAAAGCCACCAAAATCCAAACATCTTTAGGCTGGAACAAGCACATGGCACAGATGAATTAAACTAGAATGCCGAGTTCAGGAAAGCACTGGACTCGAATTGTCTTCCCAGAAGTCAACTCCATCATTTATCAATACAAGAATTTCATCACACATTAAAATAAAAACAAAAAAGCAGTCATTTCCCTAAGGCAAAAATGTGTGTGTGTACAATCAAAGATAGAAGACATTTAAGAAATTAGCATGAACATGTTAATTCCATATCCTGCTTCCAGATGAAGTATTGAACAAAGGGTAGGATGATGGTTTTCTCTTTTTAGAAACTTAAAAAGAGAATTTAATCAGAATTACTGTTTCCTGGTTCCTCATCTGCAAATCTGTCTGTTCACAAGGGCAGAAGGGTGCCACACTTTGGAGCAGCTCCAGCTGTATCCTCATTTTAGGGGATATTGCTCAAGAATTACGGTATGTCCCAAGCAACCAACCTAAGATCAGGATATTCTGGAATATGGCAAAGAACAGTAGCCCATGGGAGCAGGTTTTCTTGGTAGAAGCCTTTGGGGTTTGACCAACATTATCAGTACTTCTTATCATTCCTTTGACACAACAAAACACATCAGGTAAAAAAATTTAAAAAAATATATATTCCCATTTCAAAACAAAACTCTGGAGCTTTCCTGGTGTAGCTCTGGAGCTCTGCCATTTCAGCTGACTTCACAAGCCCTCTCCCCCTGCCTCATTCCTACCTTATCTCTCTCATTACAATACTCCATCAAACAACTCCTTTAAAGAACCCAGATTAAAGCTAATCCTCCATACGGTGGTACAAAGTATCACTTAAAACTGACATAAAACCGTATCTGGTTCACAAAGCTGTCACCATCAGTAACACAAACTGTTTGTTAAGCACCAACAACATTTCAGTGTGTGAACACAGACAGGGTACCATCCAGACGCTGGAAAAGACACACCTAGTAAGTAGCCAATAAGTAAGTTTAGGTTTGAATTTTCAGAGATGGATTCTTAAAGTTAGGGGATACTATAACTATTCTCATCCAGGCTCCTCTAAGAGATATCCACTATGATTAAAATTTAAGTGAAGAAAATGAAGATTTAGGTGCTTAATTTATAGAAACGTTTACAATTACACAGTTTTACCAATGAATAAGAGATACTCAAATCAAGAAAACAACCTAATGAGTGAAAAACCATAACATAGTTGTTGTGAAATTTGCCACTTACTTGCACTTGCAAAAAATACAGAAATTCAGCATCTTAATAAAGCATTTCAAATAAATAACTGTAAGAAGCCAGCTGAAAACAAGCAAATTTTACCAGAGTTGAAGACGACAACTGCAGAATCACCTTGTCTTTGGAAAATATCCCTCACCACTTCTCAAGGAGAAAGATGCCATGGGCTTCATGCCCTTTCTGCTTTATATATGCAATCTTCATTTTTACCAATTTCTTTTACCACATTAACTTGTTATCCACATAAAAAAAGAAATATTTCCCCTAATTTGTGCCAGCAAAAGACAAGAGTAGTAGAAATGAACGTACCTGCTGATAGAAAAAATTTAGAGTGGGTTTGTCCTCAGTGAACTGGTTTAGAAATCCTTTGGGCAAATATCGAATTCTCAATTCGTATCTGAAAAGCAAGAAAAAAGAGAAGTGGTGAGACTAAAATAATAATCGAGTATATTTATAATAAAGTATATTTAACAATCTATTCATGATAGTAAGAGCAAGTATCGCAACACTGAGATTTCATCACAAATAAAATACATCTTCAAGCTTTCTTAGAAATAAGGATAAAATCGAAACAAACTCAGAAAACTAAGGGGAAATTTCCTCTCCTGACTACTTGGAGAACTACACTGGAATGTAGTATCTGACAGTTCACAAAGATGTTTACAAAGCACCTTTGTAATAGAAATAAACACAAATCCCTCCTGCTTTCTCAGAGCTTCAGTGAGGACCAAAGCACCGAGACTTGGAGCAGAGTCATCAGGTCCAGACCCACAGGAAGGGAGGCCCCAGTCAAGATGATCCTAGGGCTGGAACACCTCCCCTGTGAAGACAGGCTGAGAGAGCTGGTTGTTCAGCCTGGAGAAGAGAAGGCTCCCTCAGAGCAGCCTACCAACATCTGAAGGGAGCCCACAGGAGAGCCAGAGAGGGACTCTTTGTCAGGAAGTGTAGTGACAGGACAAGGGGTAATGGTTTTAAATTGAAAGAGGGGAGATTTAGATTAGATATCAGGAAGAAATTCTTCACTCTGAGGGTGGTGAGACACTGGAACAGGTTGCCCAGAGAAGCTGTGGCTGCCCCATCCCTGGAGGGGTTCAAGGCCAGGCTGGATGGGGCTTGGAGCAACCTGGTCTGGTGGGAGGTGTCCCTGCCCATGGCAGGGGGGTTGGAACTAGATAATCTCTAAGGTCCCTTCCAACTCTAACCATTCTATGATTCTAAGACAGTGGATGAGCCCATTACCGCTGACGTCACCCCCAGCAACAGCTTTTATCTTTGGGTACCACAAGCACAGGACTCAAAACACATCCCACTGCTCTAAGTGAGACTGGCAACCAGTGATACCCACCAGGGAGCCACGTCCTACAGACAAATCAAGGGCTTTCTATAGGAATACGACTGCTCCTTCTTTCTAAGTGCTGTAATATTCACCTCTGAATTGTTCCAAAGGTTTTGAAGGCATTTCCCTGTAAAAAGGTTTCCTACCTCCTTATTCATCATCAAGATGAATGCAAAGGCCGAACGAACCAGTTTTCAATGTGACAATCGTATTTTTCAAGTTAATAATACATCACAGAGTGATGAATTAGAGTCAGAATTAGCCTCGATTCATTACCTATACCCAATCTTTATCCCTTCTCAAACCCTAAACTACTACTTCCAAGCCCTAAATTTAGCGTTATTGCTTGTGCTGCGGCAACAGCCCCGGATGTTTGACATACCCTGCATGTTTCCTCCTCCAACGTATTCCAGCAATGAAATTCTGATAATAAATCTCCTCATCTCTTTCACTGTGCTAATACAGCATATCCTAAGTATAAAACTCTTGACAGGCCTTCCCCAAAATAAGTATATTTAACAACCTACTCGTGACAGTAAGAGCAAATATTGAAACATTTCACTCTGTTGGTTTCAGCAGGACAAGAACTTCTTTCCAGCAAGTGATTTGGCTGCCTGTAATCAAGATTTATATAGGGATGTGATTAAAAGGTACTAGGAGTTTCTGCTGCTTCAGATTCCACTGCAAAAAGAAGCTGTGGTATTCCTCTTTGCTTCGAAATCCTTGAAAAGACATTGTCCCATCAGAAATCATTAAAATAAGGAAAACATTTAGAAGCTGTCAAAATAGTCACAGTGCATCCTACAAGCCAAAAATCAAAAGGCCTGAAGAAACTCATGTGGAACTGATCTCAGACCTTCAGCAGCGAACGTATTGTCCAAGTCACCCTGATCTAGAGCAGGATGTAGAACACCTTTACTCTCTGGGATTAAAAAAAAAATATATACAGGAAAAGCAATCTTTCTCCTTTACAGAGGACTTGTCTTCCTAACTGAGGAGTACATGAGAAGTACTACTTTTTTGCTACAGGATCTCATGAGAACATCAGGCAAGATGAAACAGCTTGGCTGGGACAGTCACCGAGAGTGACCTTCATTACCTATTTATGAGCTAATATCTGACTATGCCTATGGGAATGAAGAAGCTGACTTCCAAAGGCCAGCTCAAGGATGGGCTTGATTTTCAGCATCTAAATCTACTGTCTTTTTAAAGCAGCCAAATGATGAGGATGACAAGTCCCACTCCCACAAACCAGGTCTGCTTTTGGAGCAAATATAAAACCAGAGACTGGTGGAGCCAAAAAGGAAAGGATGAGCCAACTCTTTGTTTCTTTCAGTGCCCCAAAATTAACAATCTCACCATTTCCAACCATGGTTGCTTTCAGCAGGCTCTGGTTTGGTTCACTTTAGCAGAAAAGTAACCAGAAAAGAGAAGATGGGAACAAAAAGGGAAGACAAAAGAGGGAGAGAACAGCTTTGTGTGAGTTTAATGAACTGAATCAGCTCGCTGAAGGATCAGACAAGCATTAAGACTCACAGAAGAAAAGGGAAAGGACTGGATAACTGGAAGGAAGAGGGGAGAAGAGAGACTGTGGAGAGGTACAGAGCTTTTAGATCAACAGAGTCAACTCGTTAAATCATTCCACGGGGCCTTTGTGTCAGTGCCAAGGCGTTTGTGTTGCAGCTATCAAAGCTTATAGCACAAGACTTCAAAGCATTGAGGCTTCTTTGTGGCATCTTCTACCTGTCAGAGCCAAAGCAGGAATGTTGTTCCCTACAAGGACCTGCTTTACCTACAGATGTAAGTACAGAACCAGAAGATGTCTACCCTGTGGGGAACAATTTGGTACTCAAACCTCTTGAGTCTCCTCTTGTGGAACAGAAAGGACTGGCAAATGGAAGAGTGTTTTGGCACATACCATTTTTAGAGACAGAAATGACAGCTCCTGGCACTGCTGTTGAAGGCTCAATATTACCAAAATCAATGCTGATGCTATGATGATTATGAAAATAAACCTAAAAGCAGCAGTGTTACTGGAATTCAGTAATGAACAAAACTCTCCGACTGCATTTGAGAGACTACAGCGATTCAAAAGCAATTACATCAAATTACATTAAAATTATACAATGCTTCTGTAGTGCTAAAACCTGTGTAACTCAAAGAAATAAGACAGTGTTACCCAATGTGACAGAAAACACAGCAGACTCCAGAACACTTATTTCCTGAACAAACTACTACACTAACAAATAAGCAAACAGTTCCCATAATTATAACTCTGATCAGTTTTGGCACCGTGATTTAGACACATACAAAATTTTCTGATGCTGGAGAGAATTATTTTCATTGCTAGAGAATAAAATAAAATGGGAAAAAGGGATATTTTGTTTGATACAGTTAATTAACATGAACATTCCTGAAGTAAACATACAGTGAAGAAACAGGCCCTGTTAATAGGAGGCTTTTATCTGAATTTTAGGATCAATCTGTCTGCTCTGTAGGAAAAATTGAAGTATTAGGACTTAACTGTTTTTTGGGTTTTCTTAAAGCTACTAGATAGTTCAAACCTCTCCTATCTTGTGCTAAATCCAACCCTTTTTTTTAGCAAAAAAGGTCAAAGTAATATATAAAAGCAAACGTGAGGGTTGAAAGAAAAAAGAAGATGTCCAGTAAGCACTAGATGATCTCTATGGTCCCTTCCAACTCTAAAATTCAGTGAAATTCAGTGAAGCAATGATTTCCAGTTCGTCTTCTGCCATGTAGCTGAGGTCACCCATTGCCAGTCTGGCAAAGCCAAACCGTGTGTGCTCCTGAAACTGAACGTTTGCCACAGGAAGAGGGAAGAAAACACGAAGTGACAGCATTTTGGTTGACCTTGTTGCCCTAAAGACCACTATTGTTTACTCTTCCTAAGCTCTGACTCCAGCTGTGCCCTCTGAAGCAGAGTCACATCCCTGTCTCTCCCCTTCACCAGCTGATCCTCTCCAGGATTACCAACACCAAACAAGGCACCAAACAAGAGCTGCACATCCAGGAGATGGACTTTTATCCAGTAACTTCTGTGTACAACCTACTGACTTGCACTGTAACTTCTAGTACGTGGATTAGTCCAGGAGAACAGCCAAGATCTAATTTCTGGACACTGAACATACCAGCCCTTTTAATTTAGATGATTAAAAAAATTAAAAATAATCACATAAGCATCAGTTACTGATTTATTAACACTACAGGAAGCTTTTAATTTAAGAACCATTCCAAGATTTCTCCCCCTTTACTAATCTAAATATTTTTACAAGTACTGTCATATGATCTTAAACACTCCGTGCTGTGGTATTACAAATATGACAGCAGCATTTTGATTATGCACAGCAAATCTCCGTGGGTTTAAAAGGTATGTCAGGCTGTATGTGTTCCATAAAACACTAAATGACACTCTGGAAAGGTATTGAATAATTTACATCTTATCATAAGCTCTTTCATGAGTATTTTATACAATTCCTGTCCACAAACTTCAAAACAATCATCTAACTTTGCTTTTAAAACTGATTAAATTTGTTCTGCAATATGTACAATGTGAGTTGCACCGTCTGATAGAATTGGAACTGACACTTGTACACTACATAACAAATTTCCAGAGCATCAGTGATTCATATTTATATTCATATTATACACAGCACTACCATCGTGGGAAGGATTCAGGAATTCTCTGCTTCCTAAACTGGGATTGCACAATATTATCAATGAAAAGTTGCTTGCAAGGTACCTAAGGAAAAATATTGATGCCCATCCCAGAATCGTTAAAATGTAACATGCACAGAAGAAAACGTGCAACATGGCTGAAAACTGAGTTTTAAACATTCCTCACTTGTTAGAATCTGTTGTGTTTGTTAAATTTGGGGCCCTAAAGAGAATTTATAAACTAAAGATTAGCAAATGTGACACCTGCTAGTATAGAACAACTCCATTTGCAAGAAATTAAGTATAGACCATTTCCAATAATTTTGCAGAAGATAGGTGTAGCCTTTAAAATGAGTAGGAACTTCTGCAAAACTTGTGGTTATTAAAAGAAACCACAGAAACCCACACACACCCCCCCTGCAATGAGCTAGTAACCATAGTTTAACGGTATTTTAAAACTCTGAGCTCTCCCATCTTCTCCAGCAGACTACTGTGTCCTTTTGCAAATAATTTTAATTTCATTTTGTTTTTCTACCAGGAAAATGGGCAATCTTTCCCTTCGTCCTCTCCTCGTTCTTTGATTTTTCAGCTTACACTCCTACAAAGCTGAATAAAACTCAGCCTTCAACAGAGAGCACAGGTCATGGAAATACTTTTAACCAACTAACTGGTGTCATAAAAAAATATCTCAGGAAAAGTACCTAGGCCTTGAAAAAACCCAAGTTCTGCCATAATCCTTCTATCGTTCATTGCTCCTGGAATAAGTGAAGATCCCAGAAGAAAGACTCTCATCGCTCTGTGGGCCTCAAATCATTACCCAAATAATCATTTTACAACTGCAGAGTGATAAATTGATCTATTCACTGCATTTCACTCTTTTGAAATTACTTTCCTCCTACTTACTCTATATCTAAATACAACAAGTATTTAACCATACTCTCTTGTTTACATTTAAATAACAAGATTTATCCTTTTACATTTTCAGTGGTGCACTTATACCACAGACAGGAATGGGATTCCTGTCCTGTAACTTTTAAGGATGACAAAACCTTGGTTCACCAGATACATCACAAATTTGGCAGGTTTTTGAGGAATAAAGACTAGAAGATTTCTGCTCCTACTTTATGCCTCCTCTAAATCCCAGATAAGATTACTCGTCTGTTCTCCCCAGTTTGCAGGAAGCCCATTAAAACAACAAAAGGCGTTCTTTATTGCTTATAGCTCTTTGATGTGAAAGGCTGTGGGTTTTCTTCCTGTTCCATCACCTCTATTCCACCACAGGAGGATCTTCCTTGATAAAGCAAATTATAGAGTTGTTTTTTACAACAACGCACAAAGACTTATAGGACGCGATTTTGACACAGAACAGACTTATACTCTTACTTCCATTCTTCTGGAGGGTGGGCTAGTTCAAACTTCTCTCTCACGTTGGACACCCCCATGTCCAGGTGTAGCCAGTGAACCTCCTCAGACTGCAGGTGGCTGAGCCGTAACCCATAGCAGGCCACATTTTTCACTTTGTGACTGTCCACAATCTTCTGAATTATGCCCTAAAACAGAGAAACACACACTCCTTACAAGCTGTAAAATGCAACACACATTCTTTTTAAATTTTAAAATATTACCATGTAATCCCCTATGCAAAATACTAAGCAATAAATCAGGCATCACCTTTATAAAGATACTAAACATGTTCAGTTGCAAGCTGCTGTTCAGACAATGTCTGAAGTTTTACCAGTCTGGCTTCACAAAACATCAGTAAATACGTTTCCATGTACCTTATCAGAATTAAGCCACCATTTTCTTTATGTAAAACAGAAAAACATCAAAGCCAAAATATAAAAAGCAGATTTGTGGATGAAAGCAAGATGTATTTGTTAAAAAAAAAACCCACCAGCCTTTAAAAGTCACTCTCCATCTAGAACTGGAAAAATCACCTTAGACTTTCATCCTATTTAGTGCTTTAACAGTCAGGATTTGGAAGGTCACGTCACAGCCCCTCATTTACCTTCCCCTCACCTTCCCACTCATTTTCTCCTGAGATTCAGCACAGATCCCTTAGGAAATCAGGCAAGAGACAATTATTTGGGAAGATTCTCAACCCAAACAAATATCCTACTTGTTTCTCCTGAAGTAAGTTGCATAGTTTGAGGATCTCTTGCCCAAAAAAGGAGAAAAAAAAATAAATAACAGATTGCCATGTCAGCCCCTAGAAAGGACTAACTCGCGGTAAATAAAATTCAAATGTGTGAGCAGACCGTGGATTAGCAGCAGCGTGCCAGGCTGGGCTGCTCTGAGCCAGATTAGAGAGGCAGCAGGAGGTGAGAGCTGCAGCCCCATCGCCCGGCAGAAGGTCCAGCTCGTGTCTCTGCACGGCAGCAGATCCCCACCAGGCCCACGTTTAGCGCCCGGCAGGAGCAGGGGCTATCGCTGCTCCCAGACGCTTCTCCCAGGAATTTGTAATCCTTTGCTTCTCTCCCTGCAAGGGTCTGAGAAATTCCTACTGGAAATGCTCAGGTCGGATATATATACACATATACACATACATACAGACAGACAAATATAGACACAGACACACAGGCTGTTGGTTCTTGCTCAGAATTTCAGAAAATATCAACCGCAACTTCTACAGGAGATGGGCGACCGGAGCGAGTCGGGCAAAAGTTTGGTTGGTTTTTTTTAATAGGATGTCACTGTTTCCCCAAATTTCTTATTTTCGATCCCAAAGAAATTGTGTAAGACCCCAATTCTGCAAATTAAGCAAGCAGAAGCTGCAAGAAGAGAACGAAGGAAGCACTAAATCTGAGTAGAGGGGGAAGGTGACACACGTAGGAGTGGAATCACGCTTTTGGCGAGGTGACAACGAGCTGTTAGATCAGCTCACACATCTGATCAAACTGCAACCTTTAAATAATCTTCCAGAAGCAACACAGTGCAGAGTGAAATGCAAAAAAAATTAAAAATAATTCTTTCAAGCCTCCAAGAAGGAAACCCAAGCTGTGTTTAGTAAGTTCATGGAGACTGAGGGAGAAGGGGTTTCATCAAGCCCAGCATCCTGTCTCCAAGAGCAGCACATGAGCATCCTCAGAAGCATCATTTGCTTCAGGCCCAGTGGTTCCTCCCAACACCCTTCTCCCATGCCCAGGAGCTGGACATCAACTGCCAAGTGGACGCCAAGCCCTACACTTGAAGGAAGATGGACACAAACAGCAAAGCACGTGAGATGTTTGCAGAGAACTCCATCGTGTGGGAGGGAGACTTCAAAGCACACTGACAAATCCCAAGTTTTCAAGTGGCACTCCTGGCTGGCAGCACCACACAGACCAACCAGCAATGGCTGAGTCCTGGGAGGCCCAAGTAAATTGGATATTATGAACAATTTCTTCACTGAAAGGGTTATTAAGCCTTGGAAGAGGCTGCCCAGGGAAGTGGTTGAGTCACCATCCCTCGAGGTATTTAAAAGATGGGCAGATGTGGTGCTGAGGGACACAGTTTATGGTGGGTTTTGTCAGCGTTAGGTTGATGGTTGGACTCAATGATCTGAAAGGTCCCTTCCAACCCAGGCAATTCTATGATTCTAAGTTGCTGGGAACAAATGTCTGATGCAAACACAAGTGACCTCCCTGCAGGGACTCTGGTCAAACATCCGAAGGAAGAGCCACAGTGGCCACAGCCGGATGCCGGGGGAAGAGGCGACACCAGGCGAGCACAGACGACACTTCCTCCAAGTGCTCTCCCAACCTCCGGCTATTTTTATCCCAGTGGATTTCCTGAGCCAAGCGTTGTTTCTGTCATTCATCAGCCCTCAGAGAAACTCTTCCAGTTCCTCATCCCATCTCTTCTTAAAGCAGTTAACTGTCTGCGACTTTCCCCAGCAAGTTCCAAAGGTCTATTATCAGGTCAGTGAACGGTTTTAAATCTGAATGAAACGTATTGACCACACAATTAAAAAAAATGGTTAAGTTTGTTTCTTGCCTGCATTTCAGGGTCTTTGTATCAATTACTGCCAAGGAGAACACTTGCCTGTATCCTGGGAAACACAAAACCACCACCAAGTACTCTCAGCAGTGACAGAGGCACATTTAACCTCTTCTTCACCCGAAGGACAATCTCTGCTTAGTTACTAAAGCCTAACATTTTGGCTGCTCTCCTGGGAAGGGAGCGCTGCCAGCTCCTATACGCACGCAAACAGAAGAGATTCATTCATTTGCATCCCTTTCTTTACCCTGAATAAATAGAGTACAAAACATGCAGCCTTTGGTTTTGGAAACCCACCCCTTCCCCTGCCTCTGATGGTGTCAGTTGATAATGAAAATGGGGACACGTGTTCTTAAAAGGCAGTTAGGCCTGCTGTGATAAGAATTTCTTTTTCTTTCCAAAGCCATAAAGGCAAAATTTTCTATGACCATGACCCACCAAGAACACCGATGCACAGGGCTCAGCTGAAACCATTAGTATCTACTCAGGAGAGAATCAAGCCAGACATCTCAGGACCTCTCTGATTTTCAGGCTGGGATTTCAAAAGGACTGAAGAAATCATAGAATCACAAAATTGTCTAGGTTGGGAGGTTGGAAACAGATGTCTTAACTCCCACCAAATACGAGTGATACTTTAGAGTTTCTATCCTTTTTGCATCATTAATCAATTCTAAAGCTACCACAGAACCAAAAGTAAATAATCATTAAAAAAAAAAAAAAGATGCATTTTCTAAATTATGGAAGAAGGGTACCCCATCCTTTCTGGCCAGGTAGTTGATATCACCTCAAGAAAATAAAAAGCAACAATTAGCACATACTGCAACTCAAAAAGTCATCAACTTCAATGTAAACACCAAGGAGATGGCACCACCCATGCAAAGCTCAAGTGCAAGTGTTTAGAAACACATTCTAAAAAGATTTTTCACTCTGAGGGTGGTGAGACACCGGCCCAGGTTGCCCAGAGAATCTGTGGCTGCCCCATCCCTGGAGGTGTTCAAGACCAGGCTGGATGGGCTTTGACCCCCAACCATGGCAGGGGGGTCGGAACCAGATGATCTTTAAGGTCCCTTCCAACCCAAACCATTCTATGATTATTTATTTTTCTATTAATAAAACAGAGAAGTTGAATTTAAAAACATTTAGATCCACTCCTTCATTCAACATAAGGCAGCACCACACCAGGGGGGTTCATTCAGTACCGGGGAGATGCAGCACGTGAACAGCCCAAGATTCATCTCCAAGGGTTGCACTGGCACCAGAGCCACAATTGAGTCAGTGTATTTAACTCTGGTCGGGTAGTAAATAATGTGTAGAGTCTCCCCAGTTTCTGGACAGGCTCCACAGACCAAGAGGAGACACATGGGGTGTCAAACAAAGCCACCGCCATCACTCCAGGGTGGGTGACAGCTTCTCTGTCTTTCATGACCGCAACGTGAGGAGCCTTGCCAGAAGCACGCCTGATGTTCTCCATGGGAGTGAGCAGAATGCATAATCACAAGTTTCCAGACGAACAATTTAACTGCTTAACGACTGCACAACAGCGACTAAGACACCCCACTGAGACATGGCAGGACAATCTTTAACTGGAAGTACAGCCAAAACCGCCTGAAATCTCTCCAGACCTGACTGCAACCAGCCTTTTAGCTCAGGAAGCTCCTCAGATGCATTCTTGAGTGGAAAAAAAACAGCTAAGGAACACCACGGTTTCAACCTCCACTGCAAACTTAGGACTTTGAATTAATACAGCTAGAAATACCGGCAGGAGAGCTTGAGTCCAGAAGAAACCTGCTCCAGAAGGAGATGACACTTTGGGTGGACGCAGGATATGATACCTACATGAACATAAATTTCTAAGAGGCCTTTTCGTGTGTCTATTGTAATTCTCCTAAACGCCCTACACCTGTAAGGAAGTCACACAATCATACACCAGTTGAATGCTGTTTACTGTCATCACATTGACTTTATTTAGGTTTCTAGGGCTAACATTTACATCCCAAACACAAAAAAAGGCAAGTACAGCTGAGCAAAAGAGAATGGGGAGCCCTTAGAGGAATTTCCTATCAGTAATAGGGAAGTGATAGGTCACCTACTCAAAAAAAAGCTTTTTCAATAGGTAAAAAAATGGACAGCACTCATTTTTACTCATTTGTCTAAAGAATCCACAAATATTCAACACAGCTGGTTTGAAAAATAGATTAATACATCCTAAATTAGGAGAATGTGTCCAAAAATAGAATTTACAGTAGAGTGTATCGAGGAGGCTGTAGAAAAATCAAGACAGACCAGAGAAAGGCCGAAAGGTGCAGATGCCCTCGGCTCTCCCAGGATGTATCAATAATTCCTTGTGCTTCTCTAAATGAGCGAAAATGAATTGCTTGCTTGTAAATTAACAGAGCTGATGTGCTACTATGAATAAATTGAAGTCGGAACAATTTACTCCCACTGTGACTACAAACCTAATTTCCCTATTTAGTAAGAAGGAGAAAGTGTCTTGCACTAGAAAAAAAAAAGTCTTTAAGTAGCACCTCCGACATCGGGACACACTGCTAATATCTGAGAAGCCCTTCAAATA